AATAATTCAATTAAGTAATATACTGCTTCAATTGCCCCTTCAAAAGAGATCAATCCTGAAAATGAGAAATTTTGGGCTAGTATAGGACACACACAAATGGGTCTCACTTGATGAAAGCCAAATCTGAATTTCTGAATTCTAATTTCTGAGAAGATTAAGTTCAAGAATTTTAAAGTAATTCCTGTATAGTACTTTTCATTAAGCAATCTACTTGAGTCAATGATGAAATAATGTTCATTTAGGCAGATTCAAGATAGATAACAACTTATAATGAAATCAGCCTTCCCAATTATTTTATTAGAATAGTGACTAATTAAGTTATATTAAAATATTATATACAAAAATAGTAATGGGTAAAAGTTCCTCAGGATAAAGTTTTATAGCAAAAACAAGGGAGGGCCTGGTACTTCTAATAGACACATTTAATAAACACTGAAGTGGGATTCTAATGGTGTCAGCTTCAAGGCATAAGAGATAAATGATGGAATGAGGATATTTTTATTGGTAGTTATTTCCTCAATTATTTGAATTTTTCATGGAAAGTCTAAAATTTTTTGGTTGAGTATACAAAAGAGCAATAAGTATGTGTGCGTCATTGATAAGAGCAAATAGGAATTCTGAAGTCACAGTTTCATTTCCAGGGTTGTGGAGAACATATGCTTCTTTTCAACTGTCCAATTAAAAAAAAAGTCAAGGAAAGTGTTAGAACTACAGATCAAAAATAAAGTGCTAAGAGTCATTCCACATTTCCCATATACTAGAAACAATGTATACTGTCTCCTAAATGAAATCAGGATTCTCCTGTCCCTCTGTCCACCACAAGAGCTACCTCTTTTTTTTTTTTTAAAGATTTTTTTTTATTTATTTATTTGACAGAGAGAGAGATCACAAGTAGACAGAGAGGCAGGCAGAGAGAGAGAGAGAGAGAGAGGGAAGCAGGCTCCCTGCTGAGCAGACAGCCCGATGCGGGACTCGATCCCAGGACCCCGAGATCATGACCTGAGCCGAAGGCAGCGGCTTAACCCACTGAGCCACCCAGGCGCCCCAAGAGCTACCTCTTTAATGTAAACTTTTTCCTACCGAAATGTAGTTTAATTGCCTTTTTAAAAAACTGAAGTATAGCTAACATGTTACATTAGTTTTAGGTGCACAACATAGTGATTCAAGTCTGTATGTTATGCTGTGCTCATAAGTGTAGCTAGGTTTTTTGCTTTTAACTATAAAAACCAATACCATAGTTAGACCTTGGAAAACAAGAGAGGATTATTATCAACACCTGAAAGCTGTAGTTCATAGAATTATAAAGTCCTAGGATCTCAATTTTTGCTTGGAAAAAAAACACCACATTTATAAAATTACTTGCTCTTGATTCAAAAGGATCCTGAAAAATCAAAAAACACTGAAATTAAATAGGCACTGGTATGTTAAGAGTCTTAACCTTACCTGGTGTGAAACAGTAGGTTTATCAATCTCTTAAGCACAATACCATTGTGCTTACTGGATTGTACTGCATAGGCCACGAAGCCTTGTGGTACCTGACAGACACCAGTCTTTACTGAGAAAGGAAGCTAGATGTCTTTGTAAGAAAGTCAGCTTATATTCTGGAGATGGAGGAATGGGCCAGACACAGATAGATGGGCTAAGAGCCGCCCAATATGGACAGTCCAAATATAATGGTGTTTAGCCAATCCAATTCTGATCCTCTGTTCTTGGAGAGGTCTTTTTGCTATCTGCCAGCATATCCACTCTATGAATCGTGATGTTAAGATTACAGTAAACAGAAGAAGCCTTCTTTGGTAAGACCTCCTTCTCTACCAAAACAGAGGAGGGACTGCTGCTTTGAACTGCCAAGACCAGTGCCTCTAATTGTTGTGGCAATGCCAGGTGTGGTCTTTTTTCTGGACCAGATTGAAACAACTACTAAAAGTTGGCATTCAGCTAACACTTTGGCTAAAGTATATTTCTTTTAGTGTCTACTCAGACAATTAGATGGGACTTTTTTGGCTGGCAGGAAAAACAAAATAATTTCCAGGTCTGACCTCAAGGATCTCTTGACTCTGTGTGCTATAATCTAAGCTGCAGGAGCCTTGGTCCCTTCTCACTTTACCAAGGGTAGTCACATATGGTCTCATATATTGATGCCCATACTATTGAACAGGTTTGGAGAATAGGACATGGTAAGACAAGTGCTTGACAGAAGTTTATCCTATAATACAGTGATGGTCACTATAAAGTTCTTAGATGCCCACAGGTCTAGAGCAGGGATTGGCAAACTATGGCCTCAGATCAACTCTAGCCCACTGCTTGTTTCTGTAAATAATGTTTTATTGGAACACAGCCATGCCAATTTGTTCATGTATGAAAACCCTGAAAATATTTATTATCTGGTCTCTTAAGATAAAATTTGCAAGTTCTGATCTATAGCATGTAGGTATAGCTCCTTGGAAACAAAGGATATACCTTCCTGTGCCAAGTACCTCCTACATATTAACAGATGGCGTATCCTGTAATTGGGTGTCCCACTTAAATACTTTTAGTGGGTAAACCAAAGAGCTGCCAGTTGCAAGTAAAAGCTAGAGCAGGAGACAGCTTTTTACGTGGGACAGGCTACAGTAAAATGGCATGGCTGCTCAGGTTACTTAGTGATCCTGAGACATCAGGATACTGACTAGGACGCTGCTTATTGCTTGGGCCATGTTCCAATATGACCACAGAGCATGACCTGGGATTCTGGAGCTAAGCCAACCTCCTTTAAGCAGGTATCATTTTCTTTTTTTTTTTTTTTTTTTTTAGGAAATAGCTCCTGGCTGGTCACTGGGTCTTGACAGACAGCAAACGTCTGACATCAAGGGAAATCAGGTAACCACACCATTAACACACTGAACAGTTTTACCTGATCTACCAAATAGCATACCTTCAACCATTAATTTGGTATTTAAATGCAACCCTGGGCTTACAAAGGTCTCAAAGGCACAGAATACCCAAATGAGCTAATTACACCCTTTCCTAGGAGGCCTTCTCCCTCACCTCTATGTCTTCATAAAGGTGGTCCCTATAAATCAGCTGATAAATTTGAGAGACCTGAGCTTGGTCCATTTATGATAGTACTAGCCAAGAGTAGACGATTAAAGCATTATAGTCCCTTCAGAATGGTACTGAGGGACAATTGAGAAGAAACCTTCTGATCTGGCAGAATCTATTTTTTTTTCTTAAATTAACATATAACGTATTATTAACCCCAGGGGTACAGGTCTGTGAATCTGATCAGGCAGAATCTTTTTTTTTTTTTTTCTTAAGATTTTATTTATTTATTTGACAGAGAAAGAAAGATCACAAGTAGGCAGAAAGGCAGGCAGAGAGAGGGGGAAGCAGGCTCCCTGCTGAGCAGAGAGCCCAATGCAGGCCTTGATCCCAAGACCCTGAGATCATGACCTAAGCCGAAGGCAGAGGCTTAACCCACTGAGCCACCCAGGCGCCTGATCTGGCAGAATCTTAAGTAGTTCCTTTTATTTTCCATTATACCCTTCAGGAGGGAAAGGCTGAGGTTTTATCAATTCTTGATAAAGTTTACCTAGATGGATATAGACCTGAAATAAGTAACACTGTAAGATTGCTGACAGAAAGATTTGAAGAAGGATAATGCCGATGACCCTTTAGAAAAGACACAAACTTGCATCCCATATGAATTCTTACTGGAGTACCCACAACTTCAGCAAAGTCTCTTAATAATCACATGGATAGGACTTCATCTCTATCTTCCCTCTCCAATCTGAGGCTTGCTCAGTGGGTTTATGAGAGACCAAAGGGGCAGTGACAGAGGCTGCATAAGCCAGGAGCAATGGAAACTAATGCATTTCCTCTCCCTAAGGCCAATGTTGCTATCCATACTAGACAGCGCCCATTTCGTCAGGAATATGGACCAGTCCTAAGCCCTTGATTTGTTACCACACCTTGGGGAACCAGTTACCTAATGCCTGGCTAACTACACTGGGACCCCTCCACTGATAAAGAGACAATGCCCTGCCCTTATTGGAATGGATACTGATTCTGGATTTGGATTGACCTTTACAATGTTTTGTACTCTGGACAGCATCATCATATGCGTTTTTATAAATGCTTTGTTCGTCTCTACTACAGTATTACATAGAATACCTCCAAAGAAATGAGTATCAGATAAGTATCGTGATGTCAAGAGGATGATGGACTCATCAGGTATCTATCATCAATCAAAAATGGGCCAACAAAATGATGAAACAGACCATTATATGCTAGATTCAACATGAGTTACAGGTGCTATCTTTCATGACTGTGATATTTGCTCAGCCCCAGCAAAACATACAGAACTAGCAAAATGCAGCATTCTTTCTTCCATAGCCAAAACACACATGTCTAAGAAACAAGGGGTAGAAATGTGAGTGGACTCTCTCAAGGTTTTAACTAATAATCTATTAAGAAAAATTGTGTTTCTAGACCTATGACTTAGGCTTTGCTGGCCCAAATGGCATAACATATGCTGGAAAACACATCAAAATTGGTGATCATTTCTAGATGGTTGAGTTAAAGGTAACTTAATCTTTTTTCTTTGTTATTTCTTTGTTCTATTTTCTACGTTTTCCAAATTTTCTAGAATTACTATGTATTATTTTACATTAAAACATAATTACTAAAGAAAGAATACCACATATATCCCCAGAACATTTTCATCGAAAATGACACATAAGGAAAGCAAGGAGTTGCTAACAAAATAAGATAGGAGAACTAGTTTTCCATTTTCTCTGATAGTGGTTACTATGCAGTGCTTCAGAGGAATTAAAAAAATATTTAAAATCTGACTAAGCCTCAAATTCCTTATTTGTTAAACAAAGAGAACTGTGTATCTCAAAAGATGTGAAAGAACAAATAAACTGCAACTTCTCTAGAAGGCATGAGCTATTATTACCCATGGCAGTTGAGTGTTTATGTGCTAAGGGCTTTCAAAAGCAAAAACAAAAGTTAGTTACCTTTGGGTTAAAATATCTACAAGACTGTGGCTGGGAGCCTCCAAAGAGGGCTATGCGATAGTCATGTTTCTTTCTTCTGGGCCTTGTGCCTTCTACCAATTCCTCTCGATCCTCTGGAGACAGCAGATGATATCTCATTCCACCTGCAGAAAAACACATGGCAATTTTTCAAGAAACTTCAGGCACTTTAATTCTTCGAAAAGGAAATAACCAAACATCATAGTGCTTTTATTTCTGTAACTGTTTTTCTACTATCCCTCTATAGCATTTAAGCAAAGAGTGAGGGGCAAAGAGGCAAGAAAATGTGTAAGGAGCTGAGTCCTAACAATTTATTATTCTCAGCAATCACTTCCATGATAAGAACGCCCCACCCACTTACTATATACCAGTGAATTATCTGGCTCTTCAAGCAACAGCTGCCAAAAATCTCTGAAACCACCACAGACTCAAAAATTAAAAATTCTGTTGGTACGGTCCAGGCACTAGTACTGCCACTTAAAATGTGGTTCAAAGGCCAGCAACTTCAGCATCTGGGAGTCTGTTAGAACTACTGAACCTCAAAATCTACTAGGCTTAGTGAATCAGGATCTACATACTAAACAAAACCCTAGGTAATTTAGATGCACATGAAACTTCGAGAAGTAGGTGCTTTCGATGATTTTTTAGAAAGACTTATTTATTTGAGAGAGAGCGAGTGAGCAGGAGCGGGTGGAGGAGCTAAGTGCCCGACTCTTGTTTCTGGCTCAGGTCCTGAATAAAGCCCAGTGTTGGACTCTGTGCTCAGCATGGAGTCTGCTGGAGATTCTTTCTTCCTCTCCCTCTGACCCTCCAGCTTGTGCTCTCTCTTCCTCTAAAATAAATTTTTAAAATCTTAAAAAAAAAAGGCCCCAAATATGGACACTAAGGCATAAAACACAGAAGCCATGAAAAAACATTTCAGACTTAACTACATAAAATTTCAAGTTAAATTGCTGCATGGCACAAAGAAGAAACAAAACCAAAAGACAATGACAAACTAGGAAAATATTTATTAATCATATAACAGACCAATTGGAAAGAAACCCTATTAATAAGATTAAAACCAGTTACTAATAGAAAATTCCACTAAGTAACTAAACACGGCTCACAGAAAAAGAACTACAAACTACTCTTAAACACAGGAAAAGATGCTCAAATGCTCTAGTTAGAGAAATACAAAGTAAATCATACTTCTTCACTTATCAGATTGTCCATGATCAAACTGTCTGGACACAGGGTATATTATAGGTGTGGTGTGGGGGAACACACACTGCTTCCTACGCACTGCTGCTGGGGATGTGGACAGGTACAAACTATATGGAAGGCAATATATATGATCTCCCCAAAATTACAAATGCACACACTGTTTAGTCAGTAATTCTTCTATGAGTTTATCAACCTAAAAGTTCAGTCAGGGAAGTGGATAAAAATTACTGTATATTCATACAATGGAATATTATAAGTGGCTGTTAAAACCAAAAAAGGGTAATATGTACCAAGGGAATGATCTCCAAAAACTAATGTGGAATGAAAAAGAGCAATAGCAGAATACACAGTATGATACCATTTGTGTTTTAAAAATTTATATTTTATGCATATAGTTAAATATGTAATTTATACAAGTATATGTAGGTAAATGTGTATGCAGACTACCAATGGAAGGATATATAAGATTGTAATCTCCAGCATGAGGGGATAAGGGGGTAGGGAGCAGGGTTAATGGAGAGATCTACTTTTCACTATATACCCTTTCATATTGTTTTGAACTATATATGTAGTATTATTGATAAAAAAAATAATGTCAACAATAATGTCAAAAAAAAATAATGTCAACAATAATGTCAAAAAAAATAATGTCAACAATTCTTAACACATGCAAAACACTTTGTTCATGAGTCTATGTTGGGCCTTTAAAAAAAAGAGACAGGCTGGAGAAGTCTGTGAGTGAATGAAAATCAGTATCAATATTTAGAATTTCCTTCATTTTACAATTTGAGTAAAAGCACTTTGTATTGTTCTAATTGTAAATTGTAAAACCTTTGCAGCTAAGGCTCTGGTGCATGCTCTAGGTCAGGGGTCAGACTTTTTTGGGAAAGGGCCAGATAGTAAATATTTTAGGCTTTGCAGGTCACATAGGGTTTCTGTCACATACTCTCCATTTGTTTTTATAATACTTTATAAATGCAGAGATCACTATTAACTCAGAGCTAGCTATAGTCTGTGGCATGTAGTTTGTTAACCCCCTCTTCAGCCACCCAACTCTAGGTCTAAGACAGAGGCTCTTAAACTGTGGCTCCCTGACCATCACCAGCAGCAACGGCCCCTGAAAACTTGTTAAAAATACAGATTACTGTATACTACCCCAAGACTTTGGAACCAGAAATGCTCGGGTTTGAGAGCTACTGCTCTTAGGAGGGCTCCACACAGGCCACAAGTGTATTTTATGCTTTTGCCACTTATGAAAAATTTCTAAATTATTATTCATTTAAAATATTTTTAGTGAATACAAAGAATTCTATTGTATGAATATATCATATGTTTTTCCAATTAAGGGACAATCTTGGGTCAACATACCTAAAATCATGACAATATTATTAACTAGGTGTTTAATGAAAATTTTACTTAACTTCCAAATTAAGAGGCAAGTGATACAATTTAATAAATAAGACATTCAAACTTAAGGCCACTCTTGAGAAAGATGTCTTAGGCAGGAGGGAAAATGCTCATTTCTCTTTCACTTATTTCATTAAAACTTTGTGACTGAGACCAGCTATACCTTAAATGAAATGTCCAGATGAGGTACCAAGAACAACTTTTGGTTCAAAGTTGGTTCTAACTACCTTCTATGAGAGTCTTTCTTGCTCACCACATTAACTGAAATCTAACTGCTGATTGCATTTGTAGATACTGTCCACGTTGGTTTTTTGGTTTAAGATGAATGGGAATTCAAGAGCCCAGGAGAGTTGCAGGAGTGTACTTAACTCAGCATACTGCAGTCAGTACACTCGTATTTCATGCCTTTTTAAAGAATAAGCTAAACTTCTACTTACAGCAGTAGGACAGTTCAGACTTTCACAAATACTTCCTGGTACAAAATAACTGTAACGTTGGAAAGAATAAACATTTAAACTTTGTTTTAGGGGTGCCTGGGTGGCACAGTTGCTTAAGTATCCGACTCTTGGTTTCAGCTCAGGCTGTTCTCAGAGTTGTGAGAACAAGCCCCACATCAGGCTCTGTGCTCAGTGTGGAGTCTGCTGGGGATTCTCTCTCCCTCTCTTTGCCCCTCTTGCTTGTGCTCTCTCTCTCTCTCTCTAAAATAAATAAATAAGGGTGCCTGGGTGGCTCAGTCGGTTAAGCATCTGCCTTTGGCTCAGATCATGATCCCAGGGTCCTGGGATTGAGCCCTACATTGGGCTCCCTGCTCAGTGGGGAGCCTACTTCTCCCTCTCCCACTGCCATTCCCCCTGCTCACACCCCTTCTCTCTCTCAAATAAACAAAATCTTAAAAAGAATAAAAGAAAATAAATCTTGAAAAGAAAGAAAAAAAAAAACCCCACATTCTTTTTGTTTCTTGAGAGCAAGTGAGCATGAGTAGGGGGAGGAATGGGAGGAGAGAAAGGGAGGGAGGGAGAGAAAGAGAATCCTTGAGCAGATTTTCCACTGAGCAAAGGAGCTGGATATGGGGCTCAATTCCAGGACCCCAGGATCATGATCTGAGCCAAAGGCAGATGCTTAACCAACTGAGCCACCCAGGCACCACTAACCCCCACATTCTTTTAAATGTACAGTTAAGGGGTACCTGGCTGGCTCAGTCAGTAGGGTATGCAATTCTCTTGATTTCTGGGTTTTGAGTTCAATCCCCACACTGGGGAGGGAGGTAGAGATAACTTAAAACAAGATGGTTAAAATGGCAAAGAAAATGTACAGCTAAGATCAGAGGGAGAAAAATGAGAAAACCAAAGTCTAGAATGGTAAGCATTAAGAGACCTCTAGAATGGTAAGTACTAATGGTACCACTATGAGGGTTTTTGATAACATCAGAAACTCAGAAATTATCTTACTGGGTGTATGAGGGAGAGAAGATAAGGTCTTGGATTTATACAAGTAAGCTGTCGGAATTGAGATCATTGCCTAAAGCAAGATCACTTGGATTGTTATACTTTAATGAAAAGATAAGCTAAAAAAAAAAAAAAAGCCAAAAAAACCAAACTGCCCTATGGCAAAAGAGGTAAACTGTAATTTGCCTACTTAAATTTCAGCTCCAGGTGAGGTAGTTTCCTTCCTAAGAATTTATAATGATGGCCTGCCCTTGTGCAGGTTTGAGGTTTGAATTTACCTACTTGCATGTCTAGGAAACCTTAAGTTAAGAAAGATTCAACATAATCTTGTTTTTTCTTGTGCCCCAGGACACATGGCAAAAGCAAATACCAATTTTTTTTTGAGGAGAGCAGGAAGACCCACAATAATCTAACCTAGGCCTCCCAATATTCTCAGAAATTAAGATAAAAAAATATAAGCTCACAATCCAAAATTACAAAACACATAAGGAATTAAGTAGACAGGAATAAGTCAAAAGAACAAACAAACAGCAGCACCTGGTCTTCAGAGACTCTTCAGATATTAGCATCATTAACACAAAACCCAAAATAACTATATTTAAAATGTTTATAGAAATGAAAGAACTGAAAACATGAGCAAAAAGCATAAAAAATGACCAGGCTGCTCTGAAAAAAATTAAGTAGCTAATATTCAAAACTCAAAGGATAAGTTAAACAACCGATCAGAACAGAAACAGATGAAAGCAGCATTAGTGAACTGGAATATACTTTTCAAGATTTATCCCAAATATAACACAATGAGACGAAGATGAATGAAAAGTTTAGAAATCGCAAAGTAAAGACTTGCCAACATTTCTAATTAGAATTCCCGAAGCAGTGGCATTATTTGAAGAAAAATGGCTGAGAATTTTCTAAATGATGAAAAACTCAGATCACTGGATTCAGGAAACAAAACAAATACCAAGCAGGATAAACCAAAGAAATGAATGCCCACACGTATTTGGTGCTAAACACCAGAAGTAAAGAAAAGCTCTTGTAAAAAGCCATAGAAAAAACCCAGATCATTT